AGACTTACCCAATGGCTGTGAACATTCTAAACTAACACAAGTCTCATTAAGTGTCCAGTTTAAGGGTATTACACAGAAACACACCACAGAAACATGAATCAAATGAGTACTTTATTCATTTACAATAAATTCATAATGTACATAATTCTGATTGAAACTAAGGGCATACAACTGTCTAACAGGTCAACCAGTCCAAACTAAAAATTAACAAAAGTATGTGTATATTTATGCATATATGTGCATTTGTATACATACATGGTTTATTAAAAATTAGCATGTATAGATGCATATATGCAAGCAAATATGTGTCTATATATACATGTATATAGTTGGATCGGGCTCAATTTAGGATAAACTCGGGCTGGGTTTGGACTACCTAAGGGCTGGCCTAAGCCTAATTTGAAAAATAAACAAAGCCGAAAATTTTGGGCCCAAATCCAGCTGAAGAACCAAAAATTTAAGCACAATCCATGTAAAATTGTGGGTTGAGTCAGTCTGACTTGAGTTGGGCTCGCCCTAGTTGCGCCCCTAATTAAAAGCGTACAAGTCTGCTTGCTTGACCCAAATATATAGGTTTTTTTTTTCCTGCTCCCAAACATATAATTTTGTAAGGACGGGCTTGTGTGCAACAAACAAGATCCAGCTTCAAGTCTAGGGATCTCAAAGGTCACAATGAAATAGGTCCAATCCAATAGATGGGCCATGCACAAAGCCCAGACCAAACTGTAAGGACATTTATTAAATAAACCAGCCCCTTGTTTAGCAATTTAGGAAGAACAAACCATAATGACCTTCCCATTTTATTCATCAATGATGCTTATTGATAAGAGGTGATTAGGCCCGACCTATTAAGTAGTGGACACGTGGACACAACTTGGTAATCAGTCACATGACTTAGTATTCTCAGCCACCTCGGCAGGATGGGCCACTTCGGGTACCTTGGTCACCTTGGATAGCACTGAAGCCCGAGTATTTCTGTTATGGGCCCACGAATAGGATCTCGTCATGGGTCGGTCCACTGGGAAAACCTCCTATTTTCCCTTGTTCCTCCCTGCTCTTGATGAACTTATCTTGGCGCCCTAATGGTGATTTGTCCAAGAGATCACCTAACTCTCCTTGCTCTCTTTCTTGACTGAAATTTTYGATATGTTTATTGAATAATATCAGCTCCTTAAATAGGAGATTACAAGAGGTAGAATCCTACTTTTAGGAAGACTCCTTGCTAATCTACTACTCTATCCTATTAAACTGATAAGATAAGACTAAATTGATAAGATAAGGTAAGACTTCCTTAATCTATCCTATTGAACTGATAAGATAAGACTAAATTGATAAGATAAGGTAAGACTTCCTTAATCTATCCTATTGAACTGATAAGATAAGACTGAACTGATAAGATAAGATAAGACTGAACTGATAAGATAAGATAAGACTTCCTTAATCTATCCTACTGAACTGATAAGATAAGATAAGAACTGTAATTAATCCATACTACTGAACTGATAAGATAAGATAACTGAATAGATAAGACTCCTACTAATCCCTGCTACTGAAAGTAGATAAGGTAAGAATACTGAATAGATAAGATAGGATGAGAACACTAAATTGCTGCTGCTGAGAACACTAAATTATTGTTGTTGCTGCACTAAATTACTGCTGCTACTGCCGGCGCCCACATCAATTTCAGGATGACTAAGCCTGATGAAGTAACACGTAGTAGATTCTAGAATCTTGCCAACTGTCTCTGAGCCTTTCGGGATCACACCGTGCAACCGTAGGCCTCATCCTCATCCCGCCCGAATCAAATGGACACGATAAGCCTTATCAGCTAGCATGCTATTCACCTTCCGGAGCAGAACAAATTCCTACGGCTCGGGCTGAAGATCTCAGGAATGTTTCATGAGACCCACGATAGACCAACTATATAAGGGCATCAGCCCCTGAGACCCAGGTACATGCAATTTAGTGATTCTAGATCTCTAGATCTCAAACTTTCAGCTCGCTGCTTACATCCAGTAGTAACTTAAGCATCGAAGTGATCCCACCAGGCTAACCACTCCGGATTCTCTGATCCCATCTATCTTGCAGTTCGACCGACCTACTACACAACCGACATCCAAACTGCCTTCCAACTAGGAGCCATTGAGCTAAAGCGGAAATATCCTCCCACATTAAGGATAACACTTCTATAAGAAGACTATGAAAAAAGTTACATCTTCCGAAGTCCTAACCGGTAAAGGCCTAACTTAGCTAGCATATATGCACATCTATTGGCCTCCCTATAACAGTGTTCCAAAACTACACCGTAAATCAGTAATTTGCTCAAAAGGAGAGCTTCAGCTTTCCATTTCGGGCATTTTCTAGTGATTAGAGATGAAATGGTAGGCTGCGAATCAGGTTCAGTTGTTAGGTTAGTGAGTCCCCTATGAAGCCCAAGTCGTAAACTTTCATGGATGGCCCATTAGCTCTGCCATATTATTAGAGGATATTCCAATGTGGGTTGTGAAGCCATCCTTCCAACTTCCTTGATGATCTTGAAAAAATACCAGCTGCAGAAGCCAATCCTAGATGTCCTTTTGCCGCTCCATCAGTATAAATTTTGATCCGAACCTGGGGAGGAGGGTCCCATTTGACATTTCTCCACGACCTGTCATCCACACTTCAGCAAAAATAAAGTCACAAGCACTCTTAAGTGTTAACAGAAGGTTTCCCATTCTTGCTATCCCTTAGAGAAGAGTTGAAAGAAATTGGAGCTGCTAAAATTTTCTTTATTACACCAGAAGGGAGGATAGATATTACCTCTGTAAGATTCCAATCAAACTGTTGGATACAATCAGCCACCTTGATTGGGATCATGAGAAGTTACAGGCCCCTCTGAATTCTGAAATCATTAAGAGGTCTATTGATCACCCAGTTCTCACCAAAAATTTGTGTCTAACCCTTCTTTAGCCATTGGAGTCCTTTCACTAGGCTTTTCCATCCCCAAGAGTCAGTAGGCCCCACCCTTTTGCCACCCCTATCTTGGGCCACTAACATATCGAGCCACCCCTCAGTTGGTAGGGCCGTCTTCGTTTGAACACTCGAAAGAAAGGAAAAACAGACGAACCCAGATTTCCTACTCACATTTTCTACCCGCCGTGAATAGACCGAAGGGGAATTTGTATCGCCGTGAATACTGAATAGATCTGTAGCAAGGATTCGCTCTTGGTCTCTGACTCTGGTCGAAAATGGGGCTCCTCAGTATCATCAGAAAGATCAAGAGGAAGGAGAAAGAGATGCGAATTCTTATGGTGTATGCTCCGAAACCCCTTTCCCCCAATAGTTATACTACTACTACTACTACTGTCACATGAAGCATTGATATTCTTACTTTCATCTACTTCTCCCATTTCAACTTTGTTCCTGAGTATCTTTCCTTTCTCCTTTTTAATTTTTGGAAGGGGCCTTGATAATTCCGGCAAGACCACAATCGTTCTGAGAATTAATGGGGAGGACACAAGCGTTATCAGCCCTACATTGGGCTTCAATATCAAAACTATCAAGTACGAAAAGTAAGGTTTCTTACTTTCTTTATTGAAAGCTAGGGAGCTGCATTTTTTTATGGGTTTACATTTTCATGTTTTTGTTTCTCATTTTGTTTTCCTAACTCTTGTTCCTGGGACCTAGTGGATCGGCCCGTTTAGTTCTGTTCTCTGAGGCAATTCGTCATACAGAGGATGGTTGTGTTGCATCAAATTGATTTTACAACCTGGCTCCTTGTTCTTATGATGTTCTGAAGTTCTAGAAGGCATTTCATTGCACTCAAAGTATTATTGATATTTTTATTTGAAATTCGTTTTGTCAGGTATACTCTTAATATATGGGATGTTGGTGGCCAAAGAACAATAAGGTCTTACTGGAGAAACTATTTTGAACAAACTGATGGTTTGGTATGGGTTGTTGATAGTTCAGATGTCAGACGTTTGGATGATTGCAAAATGGAGCTAGATAATCTTTTGAAGGAAGAGGTATTGCATATTCCGACTCCTGTTACCAGCATCTTGTTGTAATCAAGTTATTATTGCAATCGGGTTTCTTGTCCTTTGTGATTATGGTGTCCTTTGTTATAAAAAAATATTAACCTGTTACAATAATCAATCATCTTCTTCAAATCCAGTACTTAACTTATAGATCAAGATTGTTTAATGAGTAACCGGCTACTTGTGGAGGAAATACAGATCCAAGGTTGAATCTGAGTGCAAAATCAAAGTTTATTATTATTATTACTATAGTCCTGGCATTAGATGCCATGCAACTTGTAGCTCTAGATTACTTTTAGAGCAAAGATAGAATGGCTGTTCAAGGCAAAACCAGACAGTGATTTAAAAGGCGTGCCTAGGTGCACATGCGTGATGCATTTTAGGGTTTGTGCCTCGCCTAGGTCCTAGGCGCAGCCCTTTCAAAAGGTGCATGCCTGGTGTGCCTAGGTGTGTGTCTGACGTGCCTTGCGCCTCAGCCCAGGTGTGCGCCTTTTGAAAATTTGACGCTTCTTTGCTTTTTTTGAACATAGCGGCTGGGCTGGGGGATCCTTCCCTGGACCCCCGTGCCACGCCCCTCGAGGAAAGCCCAAACAAGTCCATTTTAGGTGTTAAATTCTTAGTTCTCACAAGTCCTTGTTAAATTCTTAGTTCCTTGAGTCACAAGTCCCCATGCCATGACCCTCGAAGGAAGCCCAAACAAGTCCTTGTTCATTCATTCATCCTAATAAAATATTTTCTTAAAAAGCAATTAAAATTATAAATTCATTATTTTTAGTGTGAGAACTAAGAATTTAACACCTAACGTGGACTTGTTTGGACTTTCCTCGAGGGGCGTGTCACAAAGGTGGCTTGTAGAATCAGGAATATAATATGCTTTACATTACATTAGCTACTTGAAGTAATGCTATTGAGTGAGAAAAGAGATTAGAGGTTTTACATGCTTGAAAATGTTTTATATGTTTGATTTAATTCTTAAATTCTCATTCGAATATGCTTTACATCTTATGTTTATGTATATATTTTGTTTTTTTTGAATTTTTTGAATTTTCTGACTTTTTTTTTATTTTTTAACTTTTTTTTTGTATTTTTGCGCCTTGCGTTTCAGGCGCAAATTGACCCCTGCGCCTTTTTTGTGCCTTGCACTTTTAAAACACTGGAACCAAGTCAACCGGTTTTTATGCCTTCATCATCAGATTGAAAATATAATTTACCATAACTGCATGTACAAAACTGGTACCCTAGCAGAATTACTTTCCTTCTTGGGAATTCTTCACACCATTAAATCCTCTAGAATGATTCATTTCCCATATAAATTGGTAATTCTGATGCAAATATTCAAGATTATAAGTAATAACTCAAGTTTTCAAGACTGATCAACTATTGGAATGGTATAACATTTTTAGTGCAGTAAAGTCATAAATTTTCGTAAAAGAAATATAAACAAGAAATAGGTTATTTTAAGTTTTGCTATAGAAGAACACATCTCTACTACGCCACAAGACTTTTTTTTTTCATTTTCAGGTTCTTGGTAATGCTGCATTCTGTTACTAGTACCTAATTTTACATGCAACAACCATTTCACAAAGAGTACCACTAATTTTCACAAAAATTTCTATTATTGATTTTTTTGTTCAGTTTTTTATTTCCATTTTATCTACAGCTTTTGGGATAAGGCTTGGATGATGATAAGGATGATTTATTTACAGCTTTTACTTATCTGTGCTCTTGACAGAGATTATCTGGAGCATCCTTATTGATACTAGCAAATAAGCAGGACATACAAGGTGCTCTTACACCAAATGAAATAGCTAAAGTAAGGTTACATGCTGATGCATTACCATACCTAAATATCTGAATATCATCTTAATTTAAATGCATATTGCTTTGCAGTAGGTGTATATATATATCTTTGGCCTTATGATACCCAGATACCTGTACAAGGGTGTCACATCATGTCAGATACTTCAATTTTAGTATCCCTTATCCAGCTTTGACTTTTTAATTGATTCATAACCATAACCTTTAGAAAAGATTATTACCCAAATGAGCTCATTCGTAACTATACTTTTCAGTATGGTGACAGTTCTATTACCATCTGGTTTTCTTTTGTCTTGAGTATGGAGCTGCAAAGTATAATTTATGTACACGTGTATATGCTCTTTACTGGTTGCCTTTAAGAAGAAAAGAGAAAGAAAAAAACATATTTTCCCCTCATAATGTTTTATGTTAAGATCCATTTTTCTACTTCCTAGAGTCTTTTATCCATCTTCATCAACCAATAATGGATACATAGTAAATCCTACGATGAGAATGTTGAGACCAATGGATGGAAAGACTAGGAAAGTGAGTGCATTCATAGGGACCTAGGGTTAGCTCCAGAAAATGAGACTATGAGAGAATGTGAATTGAGATGGCTTAAGCATATGCATCAATGACTAGTGGCTGCACCTGTGCTGTGAAGAATGACTTGGGGCAAGTTGAAGAGGCAAGGCAAAATCTAAGAAAGGACCAGTGTTAAAAGATTTAAGGAATTATACTAGAAAAGGTCCAAAATTTCTTATTGGCACATTTTCTATGTTTGCATTGTTAGCCATAGAGGCCTTTCGCAGATGGTGCTTCGTATCCATTCAGACACTAAACCTTTATTTGTTGCAGAAATGGATCTAAGAGCACTGGATGACATTATTGGGATTCTCTTTAGAAATCATTTTGTATTTATTTACTTTTTATGTGTGGGAGGTGGGTTATCTTATTTCTCTGTTTCTTTCTATTAAAATTTACTGGGTTATTCATCTCAAATCTTGGAAAACAGCCTCTGTATGTGCAAGGGTAAGGCTGTGTACATCTGCCCCTTCCCAGACCCCACATTGACGGGAGCCTTGTGCACTGGGCTGCCCTTTTTATTCATCTCAAACCAATTTCACAGTAATGGAGTTCAAGTTTATAGAATTTCTTTGCATGCCTTGTGCAGTAATTTGATCATCAACTACAGAGTTGGGGTTGTGAGGGTAGATACTGATGCAGATTAAACAATGGTAAAACTATTTACTAGAATTTTATTGATATTTGAAATGGAGGGACTTGTTGGATAAAGTGACTGAGGCTTATATCCGCTAAATTTTAATAGAAATTGGGATGGGGACGGGAAGGAGTATAAACCAAGATGATCATGCAGTCATGCTACTGAAACAGCAAAAGAAAATGAAAAGGCCAAATTGAGCACCACAACTTCATTTTTTTTTTGTTATTATTTTTGTTAAATTATTTTTCTTTTATTTTTTTAATTCTCAGTGCAACATACTCTATGCAGGTGGAATTCTTGAGTGGCTAAGTTGGGCTTTCATTGCTCCTTTGCAGGTGCTCAACTTGGGCGCAATGGACAAAACTCGGCACTGGAAAATTGTGGGATGTAGTGCATACACTGGAGAGGGACTACTTGAGGGATTCAATTGGTTGGTTCAAGACATTGCCTCTCGAATCTATGTCCTTGACTAATTATTGTTGCAGAGTTGGGGTGGGGGGAGGGGGCATGGGGTTTTGGGGGATGAACTAACCCTCCCGTTCTGTTCTTTGGCCCCTTCTACCTTTGCCGAGCTAGAGAAAAAAAGACTGATTATTGCTGAAACAATTTGCATAAATAACTGGTTTTCATGTTTTGTGTAAAATTATATTTAATTTGCAAGATAACTCTCGCTAAGTCATACAAAGAAATTTAAACCCTTATGGGAATGGCAAATTTAATGAAAAGATACACTTCCTATTCCTTAAGATGAATTCTACGTCTAAAATACTCGAACCGACTACTGCTGCGCTTAACAATGGAAAATTGGATTCTGCTTTTGTTTCTTTGATTCTATTTCTCTCCATCATTCCCACCACCTTCTCTTAGGAGTGAGCATAGCTCCATTTGGTTTGGTTCAAAGGTTGAACCTACTTTATCAAGATCAATTCCAGGTTCTCTTCCGGTCTTGGTGGTTTTAGGGTCCAATTGTGGAACCTATTCTTTCTTTACCCTTTCCCCTCTAAAAAATAAAATTTGATTTTCAACAATAATGATATATAGTTTAAAACTTATATTACCTTTATTAATTAAATTGAGTAATTTAATTTGTAAATTATCATAAATTATAAAACCCCTTTTTAGTATGGGGTCAATGACAAAGACTCCCTGTACTTTAATTTGTGACAAAGACCCCCCCTAAACTTAGACGTTAGACAAAAACCCCCTCTGTTAGTATTCTGAGATTGTCATTCAACTGTTTTTTCTAAATTGCTAAATTATCCTTTCTAATTTATTTTACCCTCTTTTTTAATTTATGAAACCATCTTACTTTTTTTTTATACTTTGTTTATTTTCTTCTCCATTAAAGTTAACTGAAATGGCTATAGTAAAGACAAGATGAATGTCTAGAGTTTTCAAAATCCATGCTCAATAGGTGAATGCTCCTTTTAATTAATTCACCAAAGATTTTTTCCTTTTCCAATGGCAAGTGTCCCTTTGTAATTAACCTATCGGAGATTTCTTCCTTTTCCAATGATGATCACTGATGATATGATAGAAGTTTTTCCCGACGAGAAGCAATGAAGGTATTTTTGGGTAAATTAGGTTTTAAGAGAAAATGGGCAAGAAAAAAAAATAGAGAGCATTTAGTGGACTATTTTGGTAATTTGTGTCATTTGACTTAACGGTTGAGTGGGTGTGTCACAATATAAAAGTTCAAGGGGATCTTTGTCACAAATTATAATATAGGGGGGCATCTTTGTCACTGATGATTGACCCCAAAGTACAAGGGGAGGTCTTTGTAATTTACCCTATATTAATATAATATATGGTTCAAAACTTATAAGTTATAACTATAATTTACATTTTGTAAATATTACCTTTTACATTATACACGTTCAAATGCTTGTTTCAATAAATATATTACCTTTCCTTTCAAACCAAACACAACCTTAGGTGACTCAATGGTCAAGTGAGACCATTGTCTTCGTAACTATGAGTGTTTGGTTTCAAACCTTTACATCCTCAAGAGTATTTTGAGATTTATTTCAATGCAAATTTGATTCCAAGGCCAACCAAAGCAAGTTCCTCAGGTTGATTTGGGTAAATCCCTAGACCCTAGAAGTTAGAACTGGCCTGGATAGGAACCAGTCCAAGAATTTGGATCCAATCCCCAACTGGTAACAGATTGGATATGGTCAGTTCAAGACCAATTTGAAGTTGGTTCCATTTGGTTCTAGGTAGAACCAACTCGTTTACTCACCCTTACCCACCATGAGTATGACCAAACACACTGTAGGAGATTTGGTGAAACCATGAAAGACCTTATAGTGGTGACTGGTGAGCATGGTGTATATATTCTCCTGAATTCTGATGTCGAAAACCTATAGCATGTCAGGATGCAACATGGAATGAAAATGAATTTCATTGTGGTTTTTCACTGTACCTAAGCATGAGATACCATCCAAAGCAATGAACTAGTCTTTGTGGTTTATCCAAATATTCTGAAAAACCAGATGATTTTCTTCTATATGTATGATTTTATTTAAAATTCAAGTTTGCAGGCAATAATTTTAAGCTTTGTTCGAGCACACCAAGGAGATGATACACCCACATAGAAGAAAGCTGATTAGACAGGCCGAGAATCAATTAACATCTTATAAATTACCAGGGCACATGCATAAGCATATGCTATGCAGGTGTGCAAGAAGGTAAAGATACAAGGTCATTATATAATCACATTTTATTTTTATAACCTACATCAAAACCAAGGCAAGTATCCACTTTATAATAATATAGATAGGTGATGAGTTAAAACGGTCTCCCTGAACAAGAAGAGAAAAGGAAAAAGGAGAAATATTAGTGCATCTACCCTTTTACCTGAGGAGTGTAACATTGCTGAAAGTTGAACAAAAGATTAACATCTTCTATAATAATCTAGAGCCTGCCAAGATTCCATTCTGAATGAATACATTGGAAATTTAAGTAACAATCAAGCCCCTCACAGATGTTAAATAAACCAAAAGGAAGCATATTGCTCTCTTCAATGCTTGTAATCTTCAGTTTGGGGGCTTGATCCCAGCTTATATAGTGAGCAAAAGAAGAAAAGAACCATGTATTGCGCAACTCAGCCAAAGTAGAGATTCCTTGGTGCAATAACTGTTACTTCTGCTAGAAGACCTCCTTTATAAGTTTCTCCGTGAGAGACTTGGGGAGACCCATCACGCTGTCTGTGGTCCCTACCTGCACATTGTCATCAAATGACTTGAAAAATAGAGGAAATATACAATGATACCAAATAACAACACTATGAAAGTCATTCACCAATACATCAATCCATAAGGCTAGCTAGCCCTGTCTTTATTAGCACTGATAAATGCTCAGAAAATAGCCCACAAAAATCAGAATTCAGAATCATGACATCAGGAATTTCTTGAGCCAGAATGTATCTTTATTAATAAGCATGCTTTAATCAGTGCATATATTGTCCACAAGACAGGGATGCAAACAGAGAAAAGAAAACCAACCACTGCTTCAACAAAAGGCTGTGTCAATGGATGTTCAACTATCAGGCCTCCAGCAACATTGAGAACAAGCCCCTCCTCAATCTGAACTCAGAAGACCAACCAACCATCATAAAAACGAAAAATGGAAGGAAAAAAGAAGAGACAAGAACAAATAGCAGGATAAGATAAGCCATCTACAATTTTTACCAGGTTTTCAATGATCTCATTTGGTATGTCACGGAAATACACCTGCATAGCATGACCACATAATATTATTCCTTCAAAATGCATGCAAGTTGCAAGACTCACTCAAAAAATTTAGGAATGCGCAAATTCAACCTTGTCCAAACAGTCACAACAGTTTTATCAGGAAAAAGATTGTAAATT